AAGAAAAAAAAACGGGGCTCTGTAACCGCATTTTTTTAAAAAATGCGAATTTTTTTTTAAAGCTTCTCTGTTTGTTTGTTTTTTCGGATCTTGGGTTTTAAAAAGTGTTCTACCTCCCTCCACTTCGTTTTAATTTTTGCAGATGGATGATTATAGAAATGGAATAAATAAATAAATATTGGTGTTTCCCCGGTCGTTTTTCGAAGCTGCTTTTAAGAAACACTTGGGATGGGATTTTTTTTTAAAAGCAATTACCAGCCTAGGTTTTTGGAATGAATTGCATATATGTTTTTTTAAAAAAAGTGAATTAAGACATTTAATCTGGTCCTGGCCAAACACGATCTCCACCAGGTAGGGTTTGTTTGTGAAGTGTGGTGGGTGGGGGAGAGCAGGAAGGCACCCCCCCTCCGTCCATCACTTAGTAGATACACACAGAAGCTGTGAAAACCTCTAATGCAGGATATGACCCATGGCTGGTGGTTGTTGATGATCTACCCCCTTCGTCCCTGCTCACTTCACCCATTTGGTTAGGACAGACCCCCCCAAGCAAATGGGAGGAAATTCTGGTGGGTGGGGTGGATTTATATTAGCCATGCTGCCTGCCTCGCTTTGTCACAAGAACCACGGGCAAAGAGGGGTGTGGGAAACACACACACACACCGCCACCATTTGTTTCCAAGATGTGCTCGCAAGGCCCCATCGTTCCCTGTGAAGTCTTTAGGGTTAGGGTCCTTATGTTGCAAAGGAAAAACAGGGAGAAGAGTCACTAGGCTGAGAGGTGTAAATTTGTGGCTACACCCCCGTCACCAGGTGGGGGATCTGCCCCAGATCTCCCGGTTTAAGACAAAGAATAGAAATAAGAAAATATTTTCAGGTGGATACTGCTATAACTGCCTGCCTCACTTTGTCACAAGAGCCAGGGGCAAACACACACACACACACACACACACACACCCCGCACAGTTTGTTTCAAAGATGTGGGACTGTCTCGGAGAAACAGAGGAGAATAAGAAAAATCCCATCTCCTCCCAGGCTTTTCTCATGGGGAGCTGAGCAGAGCAGGGTTAATATAAATCAGGGCTGGGCAAAATGGGGCCCTCCAGATGTTGTTGCACTACAATGCCCATCAGTCCAGCCTAGCCAACACCAAGGATTTCGGAGAGATGGAATCCGCCAACATTCGCACATAGGGCCACCTCTTCTGTTAGATGAGCCCCGTGAATAAGTCAGTTTTTTTTTATGGGAGCCCCCACGATGGAGCAGGTTTTACCTTTGCCTCTGTGGGCTGCGGTGGCTGGCGAAGTAGGTGGTGCAGATGTGCGGAGAACAGCTCAGTTGACACCCTGTTCAAGCATTTGTGGGCATCTCGGGAGGGGGTGGGAGGAGGAATCAGGGTCCCTGGGCTAGTAAGCCCCCATTGTATTACCCTGAATGTCTCTGATGACGTTCCTTTCCGTTCTGTCTCAGTGGCATCAAAGCAATGTGGGGGTGGCACGGCCCCATCGTTCCCTGTGAAATCTTTAGGGTTAAGGTTCTTACATTGGAAAGGAAAAACAGGGGGAAGAGTCACTAGGCTGAGAGGGGTAAATTTGTGGCTACACCCCTGTCACCAGGTGGGGGAATCTGTCCCAGATCACCCGGTTTAGACGAAGAATAGAAATCAGAAAATATTTTCAGGTGGATACTGCTATACTGCTATTTAGCTGCTAGATGGCGCTGGACTCAACTGAATCTATGTGTAATCAGGACCACCCTACACTTGATTTATGTAGGGCAATTGTCTGTACTGGGGGGAAAAACTACACATGGGACATTTGTATTTTTGTTACTGGGGATATGAATAGGAATACAGTATCAGCACTACAGATGCCATGGAAATGCAGTCCCTCGCGCCTAAAATGGCCGGACCACGCATGGTTCAGAAGCAGCCCAGACGGATTTTCCCCACCTCCCCACACAGCTGGCCGCTCAAGAGCTGAGCGAGGAGACTCCCCATCCTGCCTCCCCACCAGAGTGGTCGGCTGTGTGGGGAGGCAGTAAGGGCCAGCCAGGTTCCTTCTCTGATTGGTGCAGTGACGAGGGAACAGCGGTTCCCTTTTTATAGCCATCCTTACATCTTGTGGCAGAGAGTTCCACATGCCTTATTGTGTCACTTGGGAGCCAGTACTCCACAGCGCAAAGAGGGGCCCCTAATGCTTTTCCTCTCTACCCAGGATCCTGTCCTTTTCAAAACAGCAACAGGTAGACCTCAAAGGGAAGCTGCGAGTGTTTACTTGTTGACAGAAAAGTGCAGTTAAAAATTTTGGGGGTGGTGAGGGGGGATGTTTCGAAAAAAAAAAATCCCGATAGGAAGATGCAGTGTGTTGCCTGTCAGGGTTTTGCAGCGCTTTGAAAAAAAAAGAAGCTGCGAGTGTTTACTTGTTGACAGAAAAGTGCAGTTAAAAATTTTGGGGGTGGTGAGGGGGGATGTTTCGAAAAAAAAAAATCCCGATAGGAAGATGCAGTGTGTTGCCTGTCAGGGTTTTGCAGCGCTTTGAAAAAAAAAGCACAAGATTAGTCATCAAAACTGAGGGGGGGGGCACTTTTGCATTTTATTTTTTTCCAAGGGGAAAAACAGGCTGATGAGAGACCTGTTCTTTGGGAGAGAGGGGAGGATGATGATGGTTTCGAGGGGGAAGCAGCCCACCTCATGGGCTCAAGTGATAGGAAACCAGATTTCGGTTGAATATCAAGGGGGAAAAACTTCCTAAGTGTTAGAGCAGTATAACAACTGAACCCATGGCTTCAGGAGGTGGGTGAGCGTTGCCTTGAGCAGGGGGTTGGACTGGATGACCTTTGAGGCCCCTTCCAGCTTCATGGTTCTACCTTGCCTGGCTAGGGAGACCCACAGAGACGCGCCCCCCAAGAGATCCACACCGTCTATCCATCAGACCCCCCCTCTCTCTGGCTTGTCTCTGTGTGGCGGGTCAGGATAGTCCCCCTTTTATAAACCCCGGTTCCCCAAAGAAAAGGGGGCGCCCTATGAATCTGGTTCAGAGGAGGGGGTCCGGCTGGTCCGATCCGTTTTGAGCGCCGGGGGGGGGGGGCCCCGGGG